CCTAAGCCACATATTTAATTGAGAACATCCATTCTTTCTAGTGTCTCCATCCTCCTCTGCTTTACACTGTATCTATCACTTGAGCTATACTTGCACGGACGCTGTAGCTTTCATAATTTGAGGATGCGTTCGAGAACTGTAAACAGTGATTACTCATCCTTAAAGGCTGAATTCAACATTAAAGGCAATAAGAAACCATTTCCTATGTTGACACCCTGAGTTCTACGTAAAGATCATCTGGATGAATTACAAGAGAATTAGCCAGATAACCCCCATCAATTCAGCACTACACTGACAAACAGCAGAGTTTGTAGAGGTCACTAAATTTAAAGTGCTGGTTTTAATTTTATTTATTTCTTAAGAAACCTTTCTAAAAAGGTGTAGCAAGGATATTACACAACAAAACAACTTTAATATTTTGGCTTTATGTAATGTTATAAAAGATTATGTGATGTAGACATAAACTAAAAGAAGTCTGAATTATAACTGTTGCTTTATACGTCACATTAACTCCACTCTTGTGGAGTTTTGGAGAAATACAAGCACAGTAATTCTTGCAGAAAAGCTAATAAAACTACAGACCAGTTGTACAGATTTTTTTTTTTTTTTCCATTTGTAAAAAACAGAGAAAGTGGTATGTATGACATAAGATCAGCAATGGGAGCTGCAGTACTTCATTCAGTGGAGACTGGTTTACATAAAATGCAAACGAATAGTGAGACTTATCATGCAACAAATGTTCAGTAACCTACAGATGATGATGCAGTAGTGCCTGTTTGAGAAGTGCCCAGCTGTCACTGCTAGTGTTCATCCCTGATAGCAGTCTCAAACAGTATAAGGAAACTATAAGCCCTGAAGACTATAGTAACCTTTGCTTTCTAGAATTACATAATTACAGAACAGGACAGTTTAAAGGTATTTCTCAAGCAAGCAGTGTCCAACATGTAACAGCAGAATTTCAAATTAAGGTGAGATCAGTGTAATATTTTTGATAAGAATTATCTGCATTTTTAACAGTACAAAGCCAAGCCAAGTCTTTCAGATGCATTTTTATTTGTGCTAAGGGCCTACCTTTCATGAAATAACTTGCACTTACAAAGCAGAATTGTTGAGTTAGAGGAAATATTTTGCATTTTGATAGTAAAATGAAAATAAATAAGTCAGAAGTTCATCACCAGAGCTTCATATTGCTCTCTTCCAAGCACAGTGTTAAAAACATGCAACTGAACTTTCCAAGCACTTGTTTTTGATATAGCCTTTCAAAATAAATAAATACGTAATAAACTGCTTGCTTGTCCTTAAAAGTATTAATAGAACAGCAAAATATCACAGGGGTGTAATGTTCTATTTCTTATACTTACGAAACAGTATAAAATACAGAAAATCAAAAGTTCCCAATAGCCACAGTTTCACTAATGCTGAATCATTTGTTGTTTAAAAGTCATTATTTACATATAAAAAGCACCTCCTTATTTACAGACAAATCAAATGAAAAAAAATGCACTAGGAAAAAGAGAAGATGCTGACACTAAAACACATCGGCTGGATTCTTCGTGTAGTTAGTATACAGCTATGATAACACAGAAAATTCAATTGGTTTACTGACCTTAACATGTCAAAGAAAAAAAAAAAAGCGAAGTCCAGTTACAAAAGGAGGGAAATAAAAACAATTCAGCATACCTTCACGACATTAAAACAGTAACTTAAGGAATTCATTGTAGGTACTACTGTGTGGTCTCCTACTGCTCATTAATTATGTAGGGCACGCATCTGAGATCTAGAAAATGTAATACTTTCTGCAACTCTGAATTACAGTTTCCTCTTCTACCAGGATAGCATTTCTAGACTGTTTCTACATTTAATGATGCTTCTGATGAGTGAACAAACTCCTTGGTAGACACTCAAGTGAACTTTCTTTATTAACAGCCTAATTTACTACTTTAATCTACTCCACAGCCTTCTCCATTGGAGAATCTACCAAATGTCTAGGGAGAGAATATTACATTATATGTATCACTATAGCAACTAACCTAATTGATCTGATGCAGGTTTCTCTTCCACCATAGGATGGAGCCACTATCCCTATGTATAATCTAAACATTTAAGAAATAATAAGTTATCTTCTCATCATTTTACAATGACAAAGAACATAACTGTACTTTGGAAAGTAAAGTATAAATTAAATCTAATGGCTTGTACACATACATTCAGCGCAGGCTTCATAGTATCTGTTAAGCTGTCAGCTGGAACTCTGAGTACAGTATTTACTAGTTGCTTTCAGTAAACAGGAACAACCATGGAACAATAAATACACTCCCAGAAACAGAGACACAAAGTAATCAGGAGAAAGGAAAGAAATATTCATTGACTGATTCAGGAACAAGCTTCACCAGAGTAGTATATTAAAAATTAAAATAAGCATGAAGTAAAGTAAAACTTCAGAAGTTTTACATTTTCCCTTTTCCACAGCACTGTAAGAAAAAGTTCTGATTTTTTTTTTTATTTTTTTTTATTTTTTTTTTTTTTTGAACCGCAGAATTTGATGCAAATGATACAGTGGGAGAAAAACAAAAACGAGGTTCCTGTAGTAACATGAACAATATATTCACATGATTATTTTTTTTTTTTTCCACAGAATCCTGCTTCATATAAGAGATATAAGAGATATAAGTAACCATACTGCAATTTAGCTGAATATGAGGTTTGTAGAGAAATACAGAACTTTTTACATGGTCAAGTTATTCTCCATTTACATTTGAAAAAAAATGCAAGACTCTTTCTCTTAAAAAGCAAACTAGTCATTATCCTCGCCACCATAATTATGCTTTTTCTCAAAGAAAAAAAAAAATTAAATCAGCTGAAAGAAAAAAAAAAATGAATAAATTCTAGGTTATCTTGAAAAGAATTCATAAATTTTGCAGTACTTTACCTTGAAATAGCTGTATTTTTTTCCTTGATTTTTAGATATCTTCAGCCTTTACACAGAAAAAAACATTTTTGCAATTTTGCAAATAGTACAGCTAGATGAAGTGTACACGGTGCTTCATTAACATTTGGAATTGTGGTTGTCAAATGAGTGAAATATTGCATAAATGGTGGAGTGTTTTGACACTGCATATTTTAGGCTGCATAGTGTTTTTCAGCATTATATGGCATGAAGAGTGCACTCCATGAGGAAAACTACTGACACTGAGTGAGAGAAGTAATTAGGAACTGGTCATTTAAACACATCAGAAATTGTCTTCCTATTAGCTAACATTTACATGTATCAGTGAATAATGCCAATAATAAAGAAGATGTAACAATTCAAGTTAAAGGCTTTACTCCTTAAAAAGAGAACAATGTCAAACCTCTCACTGTTGAGCAAAAGTATCTTCAAGGACTTTACAATTAATGCTTTCTGAGGTTATGCTCATAGAATATAAACTCACAGAAGAATTTACGTCATTACATAAAAAGCTTAGGATCCTCCAGAGATTTCTAAAACAAACTTACTAAATTCCTTAATAATTCCCTTTACATTTGAACTATTCATTCTCAAACATGCTCTTACAGATGCACTTCTCCCTCAGTATGTCTATCAATTCTTGTAAATCTTAAGTGTTGCCAAGTATACCCTACGTATTAGTACACTGAATATGAGAATACAGATCTATGTACAAAATGAAATTATTTAGAAGAGTGGCCTGTTTGAGATGATTTTGAGATGAGAAGTGCAAAGCAAAGTGTGTTAAATTATAATTCATTACAAAATATGCTATTCTTTTTTGGAATAAGCTTCGTCTCGCTGTTGTCAGCACAGCATCCCTGTAATGTGCAGAGAAATGAATTAAAGGTTTTCTTTGCCAACTCTTTTTTCAGGAGAAAAAAAAAAAAAAAAAAAAAAAAAAAAAAACATAGAAGAACAGGAGAATGTGCTACATTTTGAAAGAAATGGAACAGAGTTAAAAAAAAATGCAGCAGACATGCTCCTGAAAACCAGAATCCATTTCCTGTTCATCATAATCTCCCCCTATTATAGCCCAACACAACAAGCCCAGAGAAAAGTCTTCATATTAAAGCTAAGGAAAAGAATAAACACTATGGCTATATTATAGGTCACACTCAGCTTGGGAAAATACAGTGTGGATGCTGTATCTGGCAAAGTTGTGCAGGCCCCTCCTGATAAGTTACTGTTTTGTATTTAATTACTGGATAGGAATTTTGCTTGCTTGCTTTTACTCCTCCAGTTGGAAAATTCTTAACCTGGTATGATGGTGAAACGTGCATTCCCCAAAAGAATGGGTAGTAATAATATTTATATTGCATAACTGCTTGTAAGTTACACTTCCTGAGATCACAGAACTTGAACAAGAAAAAATTCAGACCTTTAAAAGTACTGGTATTTCAGCCACTTGATTCTTAGAGATTTATCTCCAAGTGAGTGTGATTAATGGACTATCTACCAAGCTTGAAAAAGAATATGCAACACTCTACTGATGAACCTAAAACCAATAACAAGGGCTCACTAAACTGCTGAGGATGTTCTCTGGGAGTAACCTGGCTTGTTCCAGTGCAATTTCACAGTCAGAGAACCACACATGATCCAAGAGGTGTCAAGGCACCTGTCGCTTGACTAAGTACACGCTTCCTACAGGAATTAACATAAGCAAAATTGCTCCCATTGATGAAATGTGGACTGAAGTAGTAAAGCATGTACACAGAGGGAGAAGTGGGTAACATCTGGTAACAGTGAACACTAGATCACTGTTACTGCAATTGAAAAGTTAGCTCCTTAGATCCAGTAAGTGTTCATGCTTACAGTAGATACGCCATATCTTCAACCTAAGGACACTTTGTGCTTCCAAGAAACAGCAGTATTAAAGTGTCTCTCTACCTAGTTTACCAGGAGAGGAGTCAAACTGTAGTATGTACCTGCCAGACTCAAACCTCAGCCTTCACCTGAAGTGTTACCTGAGGATTTACATTCAGGAAAAGCACCAGGACAAACATGTACTTACTGCAGTAAGTGATCAGGAGACTAGCCAGGATCATGATAGCCCAGAAAGTTGAGGACATGCTTGGCAAGGCATTGGCATCTTTCCTACTGCTTCTCCTGGGAGATGGAGCCATTGAAGCCACTTCCCCAGAAGGGGACAAAGTCAGACAGGTTCACCAGCCAGCTCTCCCCAGGACCGACGGCCTTTCTCTACACATAATCCCAAAGGCAAGCATGTTCCACAGCCGCACGCTCCTCAGCAGCAGCACGCTCCTGCGGCAGGACGCATCTTCCAGCCGGAAAGCCCAGGAGTCTCTAAGGCGTGCAGGAGTTCGCTGCGGCAGCTGCAACCAGGTTTCCTCCTGCCGCCGTGGCGAGGTCCACCAGCGTCGGTGCGTCCTATGGGAACTCGGGGGCCTGGCGCTATGCCGAGCTTTGAAGATGTCCCACAAACGAGATTGCGGTTTTTTTTTTTTTTTCGTCCCCCTCTCCTTCCTTTTTCAACGGGCAGAAATTATCCCGCTCTCTCCTCGCTCTCCTCCCCCTCTCCCAGGAGAGGGGATCTCCTCAGACACGGACCGGGGCCGAGGCGGTGCCAGCAGCGGGGCGGCCTCTTCCGCCCCCCACCCGCCCAAGCGCCGCACTAGGGCGCCCACCGCCTGACGGCGCCACGCCGCATGGCAGCCGCGGGGCCGGGGCACCAGGGAGCCCGCCGCTACCTGCCGCCCGATCAACGCTTCATCGGACAGCGCCGCGGAGGGGAGAGAGCGGTCCCGCGGAAAAGACGGGGAGCCCGGCGGTTCCCGCCAGCGGCCGGGGATGGAGACAGAGGGGAAGGACGGTCCGGTCCGCCAGGCAAAGCGGCACCCCGCGGCGAGCCCAGCCTGCTCCCTTTCCCGGTCCCGCGGATTCGCGGCGAGCGGGACACTTCGCGCGGGGCAGTAGCGACAACGAGACGCTCTCCGCTGCGCAGCCACAGCTCGTAATCTCTGCAGCAAGAGCGACGCTGGCCTTTCAAGTAAAAAAAGGAGGAGGAAGAGGAGGAGGAGGAGGAGGGGGGACGGTGGTCACGCCCACAGGTGAAGAGCGCACGGAGCGGCCCTTCTCCCTTCGCCGCACCACCTGCGCGCATCCGCTGCAGCCGCGATCCTGCTCGCCGCCGCCTCCTCTGCGGGCGCGGTGCGGGGGCCCTTGGCGGTGGCGGCGAGTGGCGAGCTCAGAGGCTCGGAGAGGCGATGGGAGGGAAGGAGGCAGCGCCCGGCCAGAGCCCCCGGAGCTCCCGAGACGGCGTTTCCAAAGGAAGGGAGGGGGCCTGAGGCCTCTGCCTGCCCCATCACCTGCGCGGCTCAACATCTGTGGTCACAGAAACGTTTGTCGAATCACTAATCTTGGAAAGACCAGTAAGATCGTTTAGGTCAACTGTCAGCCCATGCCTGCAACCGCTGTAGAGCATTTCCCTCAGTGTGTCCTCTGCCCTTTTCTTGAAAATCTCTAGGGACAGTGACTCCATCACCTCCCTAGGCAATCCGTTGCAATGCCTTACCATAGTTTCTGAGGACATTTTTTTCCTAATATCTAACCTGAACCTCCCCTAGCTTTACTGAAGGCCATTACTTCTCCCTATCACTCTTTACCTGGGAGAAGAGTCCTGCCCCACCTCACCACAACCTCCTTTCAAGCAGTTGTAGAGAGCAATGAGGTCTCCCCCGGGCCTTCTCCAGGCTGAACAATCCCAGCTCCCTCAGCTGCTCCCCATAAGAACTGTGTTCCAAATCCCTCACAGCTTCATTGCCCTCCTCTGGACAAGCTCCAGGGCCTTGATGTCTTTCTTGTAGTTTCCTCTTGTATTCATCTGTGGTCCTTATTGGGCACGTGGTTTCTGTCACTAACAGGTCAGGGATGCGTTGGTGTGGAACTCTACTTAGGGGCTCCAGTTCACCCATGCTCAGTAGTCTTCAGGGTAATAAAAAACCTTGGTGTGTTAAAAGGGCCCAAATACTTGAGCCTTTCAATTTGAAGTCTCCATGGCAGTATCTTCAAATTAATTTTTGAAGTTTTGTACAAAGTGGTCATGCTCTGGGTACAGGCAGGGATGGCAAACAAGAAGAGAAGCTAGGTCACAAAATATCCCAACCACATGCTCTTGTATTTATTTAGTATATTTGAATTTGGTTAGGTACTTGGAAATAAGTTCAGTTTTGCATCATGAAAGTGTTGTCAATGTTGTGTCTGATCTTCCGATCTGATTTTCTACCAGGGTCATCTTCAACCTTAACTGTTAGGGCAGTAGGCTAACGTGTTCAACATATGCCTACATGTGCGTTCAAGTGTTCATGTGTGAACACAGAGATGTAGCTAACTATCACTTTGGTATACATATGCACAACATCCTCTCCCAGGATGTGGCCATACTTACAGTTGGAATTTATTTATGTTATAGTTAAAAATCAGAATGTAACCTGACAAGCTTTATTCTCCACCCCCATATCATTTAAAAAAGCTTTTTTATTATTTTGCATTTAGAGATTACATTTATGCAACACCTTCTATCCCTCACTTAGACACCAGATTTCCTTTGTAAGTCAATATAAATTCCATGCCTCCCTTGGTATCCTGAAGTATTAGTTCAATTTGATGTTATAAAGTACTAGTGCATAATAAGTTTTTAAAAAGAATTGGACTTTCAAATTCCCTATTCTCAAAACAGATGTAAATAAGTATTAAGCAACAAAAATACCCCAGCATGATGTGCTACTGTTCATTGCAATTCCAGGACTAACATGTAAATTAAGCCATTTTCTGGATATGTGAAAAGAAAATTGATTTCCATTACACCTGCATATATTGAACATACTGTTGAATTATATATTTTAACTATTACAAGAAGGAGAAAAACCACGAGTAACTTGATAAGAGATACATAGTGTGACATATAAATTAATAAAATTTAAAGCCATGAGGAATAGCTGCAGCTTTATATACGCTGCTATACCTTTCAGTATAGTCCATAGAATTTTATAAAGCAAATCTTATAGTTTACCCATTAGCCTGTGGTTATACAAGGGGATTTCCCTTGGAAATACATCCAGTTTTAACTCTGAGGAAAGGGAATCATGATTACTGTTCAACTAAATAAAGCCTGAAGCCTTGCAGAGGTGAAAGTATTGCTTTGCTAGTTCTGAAAATTGACATTGCTCACTTGAGACCAGGCTAACTCTGCTGGCTGAGAACTACTTTGGCTACTCAGAAAGCAAGGTACTGCGCTCTGAGAACAAGGATTACTGAGATGGGGCCTACAAAGCTATCCACATAACAGTTTTATGTGAGGCATATTACGTTCTGATTTGTTTGTCAAAGACAAGCCTTAAAATTCCTTAAAAATAACTGTGTCACTGTTGTTAGGAAGGTATATGTTTTGAGCCCAAGCAATGTTCTGCTATGTGGGGTATTGAGAAATAAGTCACATTAGAGGGTCACTACTCATAGACTGAAATTCTACCTGGTGAAACAGTGGCAGGACATGACCTTAAAGTAATGTGTTTGTATCCTTCTTGACACGTCTTTGCCCATGGTCATTTTCAAGGATACTGTGTTATGCCTGATGCCTCTAATACTTACTTTTTCCTCCAACAAATTCCCGGTATTCAAACCTATGAGTGTGCAGAGATGTAGAAACAATGATTAAAGCGATAGACAGATGTCTGAAAGCAAGTATACCTTGAATAAGAAAACAGAAACCCACAATAAAGGCTGTATGTCAAAGCTTGTCAGAAATCAGATTTATTCCCCTACAATCAGGGACACAGATCTCTTGTTCTGCCACTGCTGTTGGCAGAGTTAATGTCTACAAGGAAATTAAAATAATAGTTATGCTATTTATTAAGATAGGGTGTGCCATTGCTCTGACTAAAATTACAAGCAAAATGTTTCTATTGACTTCAAACAGGCATAGTTTGAAGTCTGTTGTATGCTGTATTTATGTGTCAGACAGTTTGTGCGTGATGTGTATATGCACCACTGCTTTCTGCTAGAATGTCAGACCTGTAAAGCATGTGCAGTGATGTTGACCTCTATTACAGGTGCAGTCTCAGAGGATAAATCCTAACGTACTGTTAGCACAGAGCATGTAGAGGGTAGAGGGAAAGAAACATTCTTCAGGTCTTACGCAGAGACCTTCTGTTCTTTCTGAGTTTTTTCATTTACTTTGATAAGAGAAATTTGAAGTAGATGGTGGTTAAATTCTGTGGCAGTGATTACATGCACATAGTAAAGAATTACTAACCAATAATATATGAGCCAATAATTGAGTTTTAGCTTTAGGCAAAGTGTTTTAGTTGATACGAGGTTTTGATTTAAAAAAAAAAAAAAAAAAAAAAAAAATCTGCTTAAATGTGCTAACGTTGAGAGAAATGGTTTTTTACAACATTATAGACATGATTTAAATACAAAAAATCTATGTAACATCAGCTTATTATTTTATCTCACCAGAATTTTCAGAGAAAAGGCAGTGCAGGTTAATACTGAAAAAGTAACAAAAAAACCCAAAATATTGAAAGTTTTACACTATCACTGTAAATCAATTATCCAGTTATTTGCAAAGACAAACAGAAAAGCATAAAAAAAAAAAAGTGACAGTAAAAGTACACTGTCTATACAAAACATTTTTATACATGTCAGTACAACTGATCTGTTGTCAAAACATCCATATTATTCTTCTGACCAAATAGTATTCATAGAATTCACACTAAATTTCAGGAAAAGTCTGAAGGTGAACCATGCATTTTAATTTCAGTGTGTGACAAATGCAAGTCTACACTTTTAAGAAAAATAATGACAATATGATATCTTATCAAAGTCTATGCACGTTTTTCAAGAAATCCTCACTGTAAATAACCAAGAAATTTAATGGTTTTGTTGTTGTTGTTTTCTTAATATTTCATTCTCATTTAGATCCTTAAAATATTGAGCTGAAGAAACATAGAAACAGTTAATACGCAAAAGCAAACATGGCTCAAATGTCAGAACTAAGGTGCGGTTAAAATAAAATGCATCTCTTTATACCACTTACTAATAAAATGTTTGTTTTTATGATGTGGGTGTGTAAGATTTCTTTGAAGTGCCTACAACTGATGTG